ACTGAAAGGATTAATAAATTTTTCACTTTCGATGAATATTATTTTAACTCTGACCAACTTCTAACATTGAGAATAGAAATCTTATGGGTTTCAAACCTGGCCATGTATTATGGGAACTTCTCGGAATGGATTCCGATCGAAATTATTTTCTCTAGAAAACACAAAGGGAAAAACTATTAGCAATTTCGATAGAAATCCATTCTAAAAAGTTCCATAATAAGTATCCCGTTTCCAATAAGTTTTCATCCAGAAATGCTACAGTATATACAGTATATATGGCGGAAAATTTAAATTTTCTTTTAATCGAGCCAATTTTGGCCTGCGTTATGTTACAGTATTATCAAAATTAAACTATTAAATTGTTATATATATTATTAAATTTAATATACTATTAAAAATGTTACTATACTAAAACACACAAAACAAGCGCGCGCTACGTGCGCGCTATTAAGCTAATTATTATTACTTATTCATTTTCATTTTCCTCCTTTCTGTGACAATTACTAACTTTTTGTTAATTTGTGTTTACATATTTATATTTTCACTCATAGCTGAACATTTCCAGCTGTATCATTTCTTTCGAAGTTGTTCCAACATCTAAACCTCTAAACATGCTTAGATAAAAAAAATGTGTTATTTTTTACTACTTTGACTTCACACTACTCTACAACATATCCAAAGCCCATTAAAATAAGTGGGATAATTTCAAACGTTACCTTGTAAATAAAAAATAAAATCGATATAAACTTAGTATGTGATATAAAATTATAGATTTATTACATGTTACATGTAATTTGAAAACATTTTTACACTTAAAACGAGATAAATATATATTCAGGCATTGAATAGAAAGAAAGCAAAAAATCTAAGCGTAAAACATGCAATCAATACAAACAGATCTAAAGATACAAATTTCGAGATTTTTTTGTCTAAAATTTATGTTCGAGTTTTGTCCACGATACGAGTTTTAGTAATTTCTTTGAGTATTTAAATCTACCTTTAGCATCGTGGACAATCTTGTTAGACATATCACACATCCAACTTGCATTAATTTTGATCGAGAAAGATGTTAGAGAAAAATTACGTTTACCCAAAAATTTCATCGATCTGAAATACTTTTTCATGATAACATAATAAAGTGTTACTGCATGAGTGATTGTATAAGCATGAATGTTGCGTTGCATACCAAGGTTTGTATAGGCCAGTATTTATAGTCCGATCTTATATTCAAGATCATCTTAAGCACGATCTTAAGTACGATTTCTGTACGGTTATTTTTTTATTTGATTAAAGTCTTATTAGGGCCGGTATTCATAGTCGGATCTTATTTCAAGACCGTCTTAAGTAATGTCTTAAGATGCTAGACGACTCTGTGATTGGTTCATAACATCTTAAGATTGTACCTTAAATATAAGATATGACTATGAATACCGGCCTTAAGGCCGTAACGACTAGATTTAAGATGATCATGAATATAAGATCGATTTATTGTCCCTTCTATCATACGTCCTTTCTAGTTGCAATATAAGATCGGACTACAAGTACTGTCTATACATTAATAATAATATTACCAGGATCTATGTTTGGAGGCAGACAAAATTCTTGAAAAGTTTCCCGTATCTTGCTTCTCAATTCTCGATCTAGCTTCGGGCTATCAAACAACGGATACAGGCTAGGCAAAACGCGTTTTTCCAAAATTTGTCGCAACGATGAAAATATGCCATTTCTCACTTTGTCCGTTAGCGCGGGATAAAAGTTTGGTATTATCTGTGAACAAGGTATAGAAATTTATAGAAATTTGTAGAATCTTTGTAGAAAGAATTTCATAACGAAAAAGTTTATGGTGTGATTAGGATACGAGTGCAACTTACTCTGCATAAAAAGTCTAGAAGTGTGGCAGTGACAGGAGGATGAGACCTCATCGAATTGTGCATAACAAGAATCGCTGGCTCAATGTTCATAATGTTATCTTTGTCAGGTTCGAAGAACAGCCAATCGTAGAACAGAGCCAGCTTTGCGTTGCTGGCAGCCACGGTGGAAGTGCACGTTGTGAATAACCAGCCTATTACTGCCCATCGCGGAATAATGTCGGAGCACAGCAGTTCGTTCGTAGGGTGTATGACTCCAACGATGAAGCGAATAAGATCGCACCTTAACGACTGAGATTCGGGTGTTGCCAAGTATTTACTCTGAAACCATTCCTGATATCGCTTGTGATTGCCGAAACGGACGTTGCTCGTCAGGAACACGAGTTTTCTCTCCATTTCTGGCGTCAAACGCGACTGTAGAAACCTTCTGGAGGTTCTGGTTTGCAACAGCTGAAGGACACCATTAAAATTTGGGCAGAGGTTTTTTGGATTGAGTAGTATATCCTTCCAGAGTGCTTCAAATTCCGGTATTCTCGCAACGTTCTGCAGTAAACGAACCAAATCTCTGAAAAATACAATCGATCGCATTAGTTTTTCCGACGTCTAAAGCTTTATTGTCTGAAGCTTTCTAATCGCGCGAATATGTATACCTTCCAATGGCCAGGCAGTCTGCCATTCGTTCCCTTATCAGAGCTACGGTGAAGGTCACTTCCTTTTGCCGTAAACCAGCCAAATGAGGTGCATTGTGGTCTTCTATTAATCGTAAATACATGTACACAATTGATGCTACTAAAAAAGGAAATTTGTCCAACCACGGTCGATTTTCTTGAAAAATGTCTAAGAGGGCGTCAACTAGGAATAAGTTCCTCGGGGAAATATCCCCGCCCGCCGCATGCCTCAACAAACTCAAACAAAGATTATCCACATTAGTCACACTAGTCCGTATCATTTCCCTTAGCAACCACAGTAACTGGCTCCTGGTGACGTCATTTAATCTCAAATATTTATCTAGTACTAATTGATTGAGATGAAGCAGCACAATGGCTAAGCCATCTCGTGTGATCAGTGTCAAGTCTCTGTAACTTTTTGCGGCATTCTGCGGATCTGTCAAGATCACCACTAGTAAACCTAGGGAGACCTCCTCGTGCGTCTTGTCCTTGCACACAGCATTGTTTAACGTGTCGTGGATCTCCTTCTCCGACAGTCCCGTCGTCAGATTTTGCAACGTCGAGTGGCATCTCTCCAATTTCTGAAAACAAATCACATTGTACGATCCTAAAGAAAAAAATAAAAATACTTCAAGGGAGTCACATAAATTTCTATTTGGCTTTGAGAAACAAGTGTTATCTTTGCGAGCACCAGGTGGACATTTCACGCGAAACAATCAAGGAGAAAATATGTATCGCGATCGAGGGAGAAAAAGGGCACGGGAGGGAGCAAAAAGGGCAAGGACGATCCGCGTGAGATCCGGCGAGTCTTCGCGCGGTTCGAATTCCGCGCGGAAACGCGCGTAGACGCATGTGGCGCCGCGCGCTCGCCAACGTGCGCGACTGTCGCAACAATGGCGGAGGGCCTCGCACCTCGATACGTGCCCAGTGACTATTTCAAATATTTATGTTACCTCTTCCAGCTCGTCCTTGTTCTCGATGCAGCTCGTGTTGAATAGCCGGGACGCCGGGGTCTTCGGCTGCTCCATCGCTCGCTGGCTGCGCCGCGGCCGGCCCGTGAACGTAATTCGCGGCCCCGTCGAGCCCTCAGCCCTCAGCCCTGTGCCCCTGGCCGCTTGTGCTCGCCTCCGTGCATCGTGATCGTCTCGCTGGCCTACTCGTTCGTTCTCTATCTCGCACTCCGTGTCTCTTTCTCTCTCTCTCTACCTATCTCTTTCTCTCTCCCGTCGCGCTCGCTCTCTCGCTCTCCCTCTCTCTCTCTCGCTTTCTCCCACTACGTCTCCCTCTCTTTCTCTCTCTCTCTCTCTTTCTCGCTCGCTCGCTCGCTCCCTCCGCCGCCCACTCCTCGCCGATCGCCTGTGCCGTCGTGCGCGGACCAGCCACCGTGTTTATTCCTCGTCTCGGCAGACCTCCCCGACTCCGTCTACAGCTCCGATGCGATTGCGCATTGATAGATGCGCCCAGTCGCCGAGAGGCTCCCGCTTCGTGTCACGATGCCCCCGTCAGCGCGCCCGGCGATCGTTGTTCACCAATCAGCGCCCACCAGCCCGTACACACGGCGCGCTCGGGTGGGGTACGGTGGAAAAGTAGTGCGAACCCGCGGCAGAGACGGCTGCACGTGGGGCAACGTGGGGCGCAATGGGGTGACAAGGATATGCGTGTCCTGCCCGCGCGAAACATTCACGGAGAAGCTCCGAAATTTCAGGATCGATTTTTGACGCGCGATTTGACTCAACGAAATTCGATATACAAATGACGAAGAAATCTTGTGAGCCTCTCGTTAACTCGCTTTCGTGGTTTTAAGCCACTTCAATCACGAGCGATTCATCGACACGTGTCGTTTCGCATCGTGGGCTCCTTTGCAATGTAAAATAAGTCGCTTGTGTGGACTCGACGCGAGCCGTTTTGTTTGACAAAACGAGTGAACCGGCGGAAGGAACGCCACGCGGAGACCACGAAGCGAGGGGGTTGATATTTCCTTTATAACGCTCGCACCTGCGAGAGGTCCTCGGGAGAAAAGCCGCTCCGTACCGCGCGACTTTTTCGCCCTAGGAATTTTTTTCAGCGGTTAATCACCCGGCGGACAGCGGAGCGAGTAACGGAAAGCGCGTCTTCATGGTGGATTACGTTTTGCCGCTTTTGCGCACGTTGGCGCGGGGCACGGGGCTTTGTGCAATTACCGCGGGGCGCACGACGGAGTCGTGAACTTCGTCCTCCGTTCGCCACGCGTTATTAATAAGCACGTCGGAAGGTTGTAAATGAGGCGCGCCGGGAAAACTTTCGCGGTCCCGACAATCACGGGCTGTGTGAAGGGACGGGAAAATTGTTGCGACGCAGTTGAAAACTCGTGGATCATCGTCGCGAGAAGTTTGGAAAATCGTGGGTTCGTCGCGCGCGCGCGGAGTTACCTTCTTCGAGGCTTTCTTACTCGGAAAGTTGCGACGAAAAATGTAAGATGCGCGAGATCGATTAATTCATGAAACGTGACCGAGTTAAATTATTCTATTACAGTCGAGAATGACTCTTGGTGTAACGAAAATGATAAAAAAAATCCCAAAATTTGCTCGTCTCGACTT